TTGAGTATGTACAAATCAAAGCACAGTCCAGCTGCGACTACTTCAACTGCGACTCTTTTAACGGTGCATTAAGCGTGCATGACAGAGAATCTCCTCGTACAGCCTCTCCTCGTGACAAGCATTTCTTTTAGCAGCATTTGTTTTCCTGGCTCAAGTGAGAGGAGTCTACACAAGTTGTGCACTGAATGCCAACATCCATGGACTACAGTCGTCCTCAAGTGTGTACATACCCTCCTATTAAAGAAGGAAAAAAACCCAGCTGAAATTGACAAAGTAATAATAAAAAAAGATTTAATGAAAATCATGATTGTGACGATTCGTGTTCGGTGACAGTGCGGGTGGACCCAAACGAAAAGGGAGACGGGGAGAAGGGTTAAAGGAAACAGGATTTATTAAAGGAAGGGTGTGGGGTGAAGTCTTTGGGGGTCGTGATCCGAGGAAGGGGGGTCCCGAGAGTGGTGCACGACAAGCCTGTGCCTGAGGGTGCCTTGGTCTGTGGGTTTTTTCCCGGTGCAGAGAGGGAGCCGTGACGAGGGAAACCGGGGTGGTGCGCAGGGGTCCGGTGCTCAGGGTTCGGTGCTCGTGGGGGGGTGGTCTAGTGAAGGTGTCCGTGAATTCCCGTGGGTGACAAACGCTGGAGTGCTTGAAGGTGTGCCGAGTGCTGGAGCCGAGGAGGAGAACTGGAGACAGGCAGAGAAACACATAACATTAACATCAAGAAGGCTGGAAACGCTCAGCGTGGTGTAGCAGCTCGTGGCCTGACTGTACCCCGTGGTAGGTATCACAATCCTCTGGCGTCGGTCTTCTGTGAGACGCCAGTATTTAAGCTGGGCACAGCTGATGAACCACAGCTACCAGCGATCTCTCCTGATCGGCTCCGCCCAACCTGCAGTGAACAAAGGCACACCCACCAAAACCCAAAGACAGACAAAAACCCAAAAAACCCAGTGAAACAAAAGTCTAGGATCCTCACACATGATATTGCTTTTGAATTGTGGTTCAACAGAAATATAAAAAAAAAAACAAAAAAAAACCAACAACAAGCAAACAAGCATGATGGGACCCATAAACTAACATTTTGAGCCAATCACTAACTCTCAGTCAGACTTCTGCACCTGTTGACAGGTATTCTGATTCCACTGCTCATCAGCAAAGTGCTCTAATTTGTCCGGGACAGTTTATTTATTTTTAAAATTATTCTTTTCAACCACAATTCAAAAGCAACATCTTATTTCACTGAATCGTAGTTTTGCAAATTTTTATTTATTATTACTTTTTCCAGTTTCTAGTTATTTGAGTGACTATCGTGAATTTTTGCCTTTTCTTTAATGGAAGACTGTGAATACATTTGAGGACGACTGTACATTTACATGACAAAGACGCTGGCAGTGGCTTGCAGACGTGGAA